TCTGGGGATAATAGTCCCCGACTGTTTGTGGGAACCTGCTGTGTGCCATTGGCTGCCCCGTTTCTCTCCCAAAAATATACAGTTAATTCACTGGACAGTCTATTCTGTGAAGGGCTTTGCGATGTCTCGAAGACCTGATAAGGTGCTGTATCAAATGCACGGATTATTATTATTATTAACTACTGTATTCCATCACTCGGGCTAACATCTAAATTTAGACAGCCTTTTCCCGACTAATAACTCCACCAAGTTTACTCCTTCAAGCACTGGGGGCTGGAAAGACTGAGGACTGGCTGAGTCCACGTGCCTGGCAGTGTGTGGAACAGGAGACCAGATGTGAAGGGGGGGGTAATGGGGGCTGGTGCAGTAAACGGATTATCTGAAGTGGAGGATTAATGTTAATTACTATATCAAAAATGTCACCCTCGTCACACAAACTGAGCCAACCCCATGAGAAGCATCAGGGGAGTGGACAGAGTTACCCATTGAAACCCCCCCCGAGCACCACTACCTCACCCCCTTCAGTGTGGGTGACATCTGACACGTGGTTCAAGCTATCAGGAGACTTCATCAAACCTACAATAACCTGTAAAAGCTTCAGATAACCTGTAAAAGCTGCATTGAAACATCAGCCTGGCCTGCCCCGCTATTGATGGGTTTGTGTTATTTGAACCAACGTACAAAATGAGTCTGATATGAATCAAGAACAATTTCACCCACTCAAACCCACATGAAGGTGAGCATACACACAAGTCGCCCACACACACACATACCCACACACTTTCCCACACATACACACAAGCTTTCCCACACGTAGACACACACGCGCGCACACACACACACACACACGTGCCCTTTCCCATATACTCCCATCTCGAGTGCAGAAGAGCGAATATTTGGAACGTCCTCCCACAACAGCCGTCACTGTTTCTTTTACCTCTTTCAAAAACCAGCCGTGCAAAAATAAATCCCATCTTCTCGTGGTCTGTGGAAGGAGTGGGTGTGATGGGCTAAATGGACTGTTCACGTGCCGTGTGCTGTGAAAGCATTTATCTAAATGGACATCAAAGGGATTTTGTATATACCGCACTGAGCATTGTTTGCACCGAGATACGCAAATGTGTTCATAAACGGGTGCAAAGTATTTTGTGTTTAAATTCATGTTCCTTGCCAAATAAATGACAGTGTGAAAATACATTGCAACATCTTGCCCCACCCTCCAACCCCAAGCATCGATAGCAGAACAAAAGAAGTGTTGAGGCAGCTTTGTTAACACTGCCTTATTTTTTTTACTGCCTTAAATATTGTCTCTGATCAACTCGGTTCAACGGCCAGGGAGGCTTCTACTGTATCAGGCTCTCTGTCCTGAATTTATTTAGTGGGATAACCAAACACAATTCTAATACGACTGGTTCCCGAAACGGCCCGAAGCTGTCAGCCCTAGATTCCTGCTCCGTTTGTACTTCCCTTGTTTCAGGATTTATCTTGAGATTCTGACTGCGCTTTCCGGTCCACCGTTTGGTTTCGCCCGGTCTGAACCACACTCCAGTGGTGAGGGATCTATAGGAACTTCTTAATCCAAAGTCAGATTCAACCCCTGTCAGTTTGCAAAGCTGTGTGTAGTCTTGAAACAACTCGATTGCATAGCATAGCACCTGGGGGGTGGGGGGGGAGGAATGAAAAGCAGCTAACAGAACCTTACAGAATTTGACAATGATTCCTTCACTGATATTAATTCTGTGTTGTACAGTAGTATATTGATTTTGCTGTAGGGACCATTACTGCATTGCTCTTGAGAGTTAAGCAATTTTGCTGCCACAACTTTGTTGTCAAGTGTTTAAAAAAATAACTTGCAGGCGTCGCTCCTTAACACAAGAAGCACCAAAGATGTTATCTCCTCGAAGGGATGTGTCACATTCAGAATAACACTTCACTTAAATCGAGCTTAGCTCTTCCACTTCGGATTTCAGTTCAGGCTTCAAAAAAATTAATCTCACGCTTTGCTCTCTGCCAATCAAACAAGTGATGTTGCAGCAATTATTAAACCCGAACATTAACAAGATAGCAGGGCAGATTCATAGCGTTATCAATGAACCCTCATTAACAGAAAACTAAGAGGGGGAGTAGTTTGCGAGCGCTGTCAGTGAAAGAGAGAAGTCGGCCTTTTATTCTAACCTTATCAGGTTCAAACATATCAAAGTGCTTCACAAGTATCAAGGTTTTGCCCACAAAATACACTGTCAATTCACGTAACAGTATACCGTGTGAAGCGCTTTGAGACGTCTCGAAGACATGATAAGGTGCTGTATCAAATCAAGGATTATTTTTGATTAATACAAGTGATAGTCTTGGCTGACACACCAACACACCTCCAACAATACGGCAATATTCCCAGTCTTGGAGGTGTTGTCTTTCAGAGATGTTAATACTAAGACTCCTGGTGCCTGTTCCGATACACGTTAAACACATCACACAGAGGATACAGTTCAAGATCCTGGTCCTCACCTTCAAAGCCCTCCGTGATCTTGCTCCCCCCTACCTCTCCGACTTCCTAACCCCCTACCATCCTGTTTGCTCCCTCCGCTCAGCAGGCTCCAGCCTGCTTCACGTCGCCCGCCCCACCGTTGGCAGGCGGACCACTCTACCCCCACCCTCTGGAACTCCATCTCACAGTCCCTCCACCTCGATCCCTCCCTCGCCACCTTCAAGACCCTCCTCTTCGACTGTTTTCGATCTCCCTGCTTCCCAGCCTCTCCCACCCCGACCCCCAGCTCAGGTCCGTAACTCTGTTTGTCCAGGGCTTTGGAACGTCCTCCCGATGTGAAAGGCGCTTTACACAGGGAATGTTGTTGTTGTTGTAAAGATCCCAGGGCACTATTTGAAAAGATGAGGGAATTTCTCGCAACACCTTACTGCTGACACTGCACGCCTCAGATTTGCATCGAGAGATCCGGAACCAGTTCCAATGCAAATCAGCTGTGATAGCCTTTCTCTTTGGAGTTCCTCACTGTTCCAGGAGTTGCTCCCTTCTCATCCCCCCCCCCCCACTACAATTGGAGCCGTACCGTACCATACCACCCCTTGTGACAAACACTGGTTTGGCCCCTTGATGCCCTTTCTTATCATGTCCCTATCTTCTCTCACTTAAAGTATATTAAATATATTGAGTATATTAAGTAGGAACCCCGTTGCTTGTCAATTGGCGGATCGCTTTTCCGAGGGCAGTAACCTCTTCCAAAAAGAAATGATAATAATTTGGTCACTCAATCAACGACTATTTGTGGGACCCTACTGTTTGCAATTGGCTGCCATGTTTCACCCACAAATATACAGTTAATTCGCTTTGCAGTATATTCCATGAAGCGCTGTGAGACGTCTCGAAGACGTGATAAGGCGCTATATCAAATACAAGGATTATTATTATTATTATTTTAATGTTGTAAAACCAGTAGAAATCTAAGCGTTCTGAACCCGTGAACCAGCCTCAAATGGAGCATTCCATGCATACGTTAAAAAAAACCTGCTCTCAATTGTATGTCTCGAAATAAAACACTACTGCAGCATCCAAAGGGTTAACGGCTGCGCATGTGTGTGTGTGTGTGCGCACTCAGCAAAGCTCAGGCAGGAATAGGGGAGAAGATACGAAGGCATTAATTTGCGAAAGTCGTAGAAACACATTCATCTTCAACCCCATTAATTTATGTCTTTTTTTGAGGGAGGGAGAAAAAAAAACCTTCAGCACAGGAATGTCTGCAATGTACAACATTTGGTTTCATTGCGAACGATCCAATCTCAGTGACTGATGTGCTTCTACACCTGTCCTGCAGGATAGTGTGGGCAGCTTTACTGAGACCGTTCAGAAAGGAACAGGTAAATGAAACAGGATTCAAGTCAGGGGTCCAAATAGCTCAGTGGCTAAAGCACTCAACTCTAAGGCGCTATATCAAATGCATGGATTATTATTATTATTATAAAGGAACATGTCTGAATGCAGATCAGTACAGGGTTTCCTTACTAAGTAAGCATTTGCCCACACTCCACTTTACGGTCTATTCCGTGTAGCGCTTTGAGACATCCTCCTGACATGAAACGCGCTGTATCAAATTGTAAGGATGATATATATAAATTTATATGTGTATATGTATTAAAAAAAATCATAAACTTCAAAACGAAAAAATCTGAGCATACGGCATACAAATACACAAATACACTGCGCTTTGAGACGTTTCAATGCAAAGGAGCTATATCAAATGCACAAGTTATTATGATTATATTATATAGATAAACCTACATGTAGGGTAAACACTGAAGATACCCCGAACATCACCACAGCAGTTAGGATTATACCCTGAATGGGTCCGAGCTGTGAACAAAACAACATCTTCACATGGTGTTAACCACTTCTAGGACAATACGTATTATCAATAATAACAGCAGGCAAATGATTCAACAAACGTTGACTTTTAAGATCGATGTACAATATCTGCTTGTTCTTCTGATTAGGACCGTCATGTCTGAATGTTTGGGCAAGCACACTTATCCTCTAACCAGCAACACAAGCTGTCTGACACAAACTGATCAGAGCATTACTGCTTAATTCTCAAGCACACCCAGCTTCAGATAGTCAGACAATAACTGTGCTATTTCGGCTCACTGTGTTTCTAAGTGCTCAATCCATCCATTCATAAACATTGTGTGGTAATACTATACTGACTGCAAACTCTGATCTGAGGTGTATTTATTAATCGTGAGCGAATATTTTCCCCCATAATCACTATGTAATGCATTTACGTTTACAGTGTAGACGTATAAATGGTATGACTGTATAACACAATCCAGCAATCCATCCCATTGAATATATCCATTCATGAAGACTTCAGTAATTTCTGCTACTCAAAACATTGATCTTAGATGAGAAGGAATCCTGAATGAATGAATGAATCAATCAATCAATGAATGAATGTATTCTGTGTTTTATTATAATCCAAAATGGGACTTACTGCGTGGTTCTCTGGGACCATCCACGGTGACTTTAATGGCTCTGTGGTAAGTAGCGACTTGCGGAGGGCTGGTGAACACAGTGATTGTCAAGGTGAAACTTTTACCTAGGAGGGAGAAGAGCAAAGGCTGTTTATGTTGCTGTAGCCTCTGCCTGGTCTGCCAAGAATCACAAACTGGGGGAACGTAGGAACAGGAGGAGACCATTCAGCCGCTCCCGCCTGTTACCGCCATTCTATAAGATCGTGGGCTGAGCTGTAGCTCAACTCCAATTGGCGGACCACAGATATCCCAGTACGTTAAAGCATCTGCTGTGCACTTGCCATTGACATTAATAAGCAGGAAACACGAAAAGCTTCCCCGTGAGTGAATCGTGGGTGTAAACTGGCTCATACTTGTCGGTTCATGCAAGCCTGTGCACTAAAGTGTCAGCAGTTGTGAGCTCACATTCAAAGTATTAATTAGCAGTAACATTCTATAATAATCTTTGTGTTTGATGTAAGTAGGTCCTCACCACATGGTCGAGACACCTCAAAGCATTTTACAGCACTTTACAATGAATTGTAGGATTATGTATTTTGTAAGCCAAAATTTTGGCACACAAACAGCCATGAAGTAAGTCAGTGAGTGACCAATGTTATCTGGGGGAATAATAGGCCGAATACACTAATGCGTTTACTAATGTTTACTGCAAACTGCTCCACAGGAGTCCGATTTACCGACTCAATCCCTATCGAGTGAATTATTCATTTTGTCACAGAATGGACTCTGATTAACAGTAGCTATACATTGCTACCGAACAGTAATCTGTTCCATTGCAACATCTCTGAGCTCCTGCCAACTACAACATTAAGACAGTAAGTTGTGCAACACTTAAGGTTACGCTATTATTCCCACCCCCTACCCGTTTTCACATTAACAAAAAGAGACTGATATATGATTCTGTTCTTCTAACCCAACCAGTTAATCACTGCATTGGGCAGCCATTCAAATAAAATATATTTGCATGTACAACCTTGTTCATCAGGTTATCCCGGTAGATGTGAAATTCTTGTGTTTATTAGACTGTTCTCTCCTCAATAAAAAACCATCATTGACTCTGACGGCAAACCTGGCCTTTCAAACCTGGCTAATCGTGAATCTAATTGGAGTCCTGTAGCTCAGTGGTTAGAGCACTCGCTTTGCAAGTGAGAGACCTGAGTTCAATTCCAGGCAGAGGGCGAAACCTTGGGCAAGTTTCCTTACTCCACACAGAGCCTAATAATAATCCCTCCAAAACAAAACAATAATAAATTGGTCATTTTCAATCCATGACTGTTTGTGGGACATTGCTGTGCGCAATTAGCTGCCGCGTTCGCCCACAAATATACAGTCAATTCACTTTACAGTATATTCTGTGAAGCGCTTTGAGACGTCGAGAAGACGTGAAAAGCGCTATATCAAATGCAAGGATTAGTATTATTAATGGGTGTTTTAGCAATAATAATAATCCTTGCATTTGATATAGCGCCTTATCACATCTTCGAGACGTCTCATTTTTGTACCGTTGGGGATATCGCAGAGGAATGAGGAGAGACAGGGAATCTTATGCTGCATTTGTAACTGCATGATCTTCTGAAGCAATGGCTTGTGATAGCAAGTGAGAGGACCCAGGTTCGATTCCCAGGCGGGGCCAAACCTTAGATAAGTTTCCTTACTCCACACACAAGCCTCTGTTTACCAGCAGTGAGTAGGAACCCGGTTGTTTCGCGATTGGCGGATCGTTTTTTCTGGCTAATAATCCCTCGCCACAAATTAAAAATAAAAATTTGGTCACTCAATCCACGACTGTTTGTGGGGACGCTGCTGTGCGCAATTGGCTGCCGTGTTTTGCCCACAAATATACAAATATTCACTGCACTTTACAGTATATCCTGTGAAGCGCTTTGAGACATCTCGGCGATATGATAAGGCGCCGTATCAAATGCAAGGATTATTAATAATCACATTGTTATAATCTTGCTCGTGCAAGGTTGTTTTGAAGAGACAAATATGTGCCTCGACTTTCAACCCCTTCACTTTTTCCCAGTGGAAGACAAACACACATCACTGGGAATGTTTGGTCGGGATTTGAGTTGCCAAGCCAAAAAAAAATACCAACAGTACCTCTGGCTACAATGAATATGTTGGCACTGTGACTCCTGCATGTGGAGATGCCAATGCAAACAATCTCTTTAGGTGGGGCTTAGAGTCTCTGGATACAGCATTGCAGTATCATTTACTTTTCACTGCCTGTCACTGAAGTTGGGAACGAACCACAAAGCTGTGTCCCTCACGCACTGAACTCTCGAAACCCCACCTCACCCCAGTCCTCGCCAAGCTCCACTTGCTCCCCATCGTCGAACCGATCGATCTCACGCTCTCCCTGTGGGCGAAACACGGGGGCCAATTGCGCACAGCAGTGTCCCCACAAACAATCGTGCATTTGAGTGACCAAAGTTTTCTTTGGATGGATTATTAGCCCCGGCAAGCGATTTGCCAATCGACTAACAACCGGGTTACTCGACCATGACAGTAGGAGGGAGAGAGTGTCGCACTCCTTTATAGCAACTGCTGGTGTGGTTCCACTCTCTGATCAGATGATGTTTTGTGTCAGGTCATTGTGGGCAGCAATTTAGTGAAACACGTTGTTTGCCCCTCTGTCGGTGACTGAACGTGCAAACCACAACAAGATTTCGAAGTGAAAAAAAATCTCCACTCACCCACTGCCTAAAAAGACAAATTGGTCGCTCACTCCAGTGACTGCTCGTGGGGACTCTGCTGAGTGCAATTGGCTGCCCGCGTTTCGCCCACGACATTACACAGTCACTAAACTTTACAGTATATTCTGTGAAGCGCTTTGAGGCGCAACGATTAAATGCAAGGATTATTATTATTATATCCTGGTAAGATTGTTGTTGTAACCTATTGGGAATTGTTTTGCATATCTGTACTTTCTGTAGTTCTGGTGAACTGTGTGTGTGTGTGGGGGGGTGGGGGGTCATGTTTTAAATTAGAATATTCCATCTTGCTCAATTTAAGATCGTGTTTCAAGAGACAAAGAACAAAAAAAAAATTTAGGCTTTTAAAAGGACCGAAGAATTCGGAACGATTCTGAATGTGACTCAGTTTCTATTTATTTTGAAAGCTTTCAGGAAATAATTCTATCTCTGTTTTGCAAAACCAAGTCCTTTATACACAAAATGAACATCTGGAGCTTGTGTTTGTCCAAATAACTGCCTGATATTTTGTGCCAGATTCAAATCTGTGTCATAGTAATAAATACACATTCACATTGTTTTCTTGAACTTATTTTTTATCATCTTGAAATGCGATCCCAGGCTATCATTAAAAGGCTGCTCATTTATTACCGATCTACTAATCCACTGCAGTTTTCAATTAAATGAAACTGATCAAGTTGCAGTTTGAGTCTCGAACAAAGTGAGAAAAGCCAAACAAAACGAAAGAAAAACAAACAAACATTTGACTGTTTTGTATGTTTTGTGGGTGTAAACTCCTGATACTCATCACTCCACAAAAGGAAAAGGGGGTTCAGTGACAGGTTATCAGGAGTGGGCGAGTTAGCCGTATGTATAAATAGGTAAATAAATATGGTCGGGATTAGTGGCAGCACAATTGATGGTAGTGGTAGTGACAAGTCAGGGTTGAATTATCAGCAGTTTACTGTAGAAGCATTTTTATGTTACCTGAGAGAGTATTCTAACGCATTGACTAGAATTAAAAGACGGCAGTCAAAATCTGCCCAGGAACTAGCAAATAGTGTTGTGTTAAGAACAGTTACATGGGCCAGGGAAGTATAACACCTAATGTTGTGTCTACTGTTGCCAATATTGGCTCCTTATAGGATGTCATACTGATATATATCAAATGATTGCAAATGCAAATGATCATAATTATTATTTTTATATCATTTATCAACAATGTGATAAAGCGCTATACCAAATGCAATGATTATTATGACTATTTTACACTGAAAATGAGAGATTACCATTGCTCATTAATAACCATTTCCTCTGAATTAAATCTCCTTATCGAACATATCAGTTTTGAAAATCTAATAACATCCTTATATCTGTTTGCTTTGCTGCAATGACCTTTGCTCCAAATTGTCAAAAAGCTGGCACCGATAGTGTCTTTAAGCAGGGCCTGAACTGGCACGCTCATCCAACCAACAAATATTGCATTAATAATAATAATGATCCTTGCATTTGATACAGAGCCTCGTATCACTTCGTTGAGACGTCTCAAAGCGCTTCGGAGAATAGACTGTAAAGTGAATTGACTGCGTTGGTTGATATAAAAGTTTGAATATCTTATGTGTTAACATTTCAATCGTCAATTGGCTTCTTCTGATGGCTTCTAATATTTAATAGCAGGTGCTTGCTTTGCATAGACTCATTTAATTCAATCAGGTATGTCCCCTCGAGCAGTAATCATAATCAGCTTTGACAACTGTAACGGGTACTGTTCAATGCTGCAGAGGCTGGAGGTAGGTGTGAGCATAAAATGTCAGAGTGTCAAATAGAGAGCGATAAAGCCTCTGCAACAACAACAACTCGCATTTACGCAGCGTCCCCTCACGCAGGTAGTGTCCGAGAGTGCGTGGGAGTGGCGGAACACTACACCAAGCTGGGGTGCGGGGGGAGGAGAGAGGGGGAGCTGATCGCAATCTCAGCAGCTGGTTTCCGAACCAATACATTGCAATATTTTTTTCCAATACTGTATTTATTTGTAAGAGACAATGGGAGTGGTGTTTTTTTTTTTTGCCTTGTCATGCAATTCCTCTCAGATCAAGGAGCTGTTTTGCTCGCAAAATGCAGTCAATTCACTTTATATTCTGTAAAGCGCTGTGAGACATATCTCAAAGAGATATCTATACCAAATGCAAGGATTATCATTGTTTTACTTTTGATTCGCTCACTGAAACATCACTGTTATCGCCTCTGGTATCTCCACCCCCTACACCCTACCCCCTCCCCCCCCCCCCCCCCCACCCCACACACAAACACAGACACCCATTACCACTCACTCACCCACTTGTTAAATGCCACTGTATTTTGGTTGAGTAAAAAGATGAAGGGAGCAAAATAAACACAACTGATAAGAGGGGTTGATTGTCTGCAGAGAAACGGGTCTAGTAATTTGTTTGTGGGGACGCTGCCGCGTTTCACCCACAAAATATACGTTCAATTAGCTTTACAGTGTATCCTGTGAAGCGCTTTGAGACGTCTCGAAGACGTAAGGCGCTGTATCAAATATTATTATTATTATTGAGAAGGGACAAAAATCCAAATGTGACCAGACCCACTGCACCCCGACCGCCCCCCCTCACACCCACAAAATATACCATAGTCAGATCAGCATCTAAACACCCTTTAGTGAACAGGGGAAAGATTTCTCCACCTTTTGTTCAAAGATGAAAAGGTTTTTTTAAGAGTGATTTTTTCAAAATCTTATTTTCTATCATTTTCCAACTCAACAACAGCAAAATTACATTTATTACACCTAAATTGCACTCCATTCTTACCATAATGACTACCCCCCCCCCCTCCCCCCAGAAGATGAACTGAAAAGGGTTTTTTGGGGGTGTTTTTTTAAAAAAATATATATTTTCTATCTTTTTTTGAATTTTTTTGTTACACAATTTTTTTTCCAGTTGTGAGAATTTCCTTCCCCAAAAATAAAGGGGCGGCAGAGGGGGGGAGAGGCAAAAAGGATGAAAAAAAACCAAGATTGTATCAAAATAATGGCATACACGTAACTTATTAGTCAATTTAATTTGCAGAAATAAATAAATATCGATTATATATATATTTTTTTTTTAAAAAAGCACAGCCAGACTCACAATTTAAAACAAATGGATTTCAAAATGTGGAAAATATTGGGTTATCCGATTTCCATTTAGATTTAACTTGGTTTTGCTTTTGGTTTGGGAGAGGAACAAAACGTGAAAATTATATATAAAATTATATAAACGCAAAAATATGAGTCTCATCGCTAATATTTATTGGAAATTGATGTTTCAGTGACGTGAAATATACAATACTGATCCAAATTGTTTTAATTTTTTTAAATGTATACATATAAAAAAATGACTCGTCATTCAATCTAAAAAGCCATGTTCATTTCTCGACTTACACTCAGGACTTGGGGAGATATTTTAATATAAAAATATCGTATTAAAGAAGGAGAATATCCAGTGATATTATATAGGAACGAGTAAAACAGTGAGGAATATCCAGTGAGTGATAACCAGGTCCAGAATTCATATCAACCTCTTTGAAATAAATCTTGGTTGGTTGGGATGGATGGGGTGGGGGGGAGAGATTTATGATTTTAAACACACACATTATAAACCTGAATGAATGAATGAGTGAATGAGTGAATGTATGAACGAACGCAGTAACACTTGCGAAGAAACTGAACGAATGCATTGCATTTTGCGAACTCATCACATGTTGGCAAAAAAACACCTCCCTCTGCAAATCAAACTGGGGATAGTGTGTTAAACTCCTGGTGTGTGTGTGTGTGTGTTTTATAAAAAAAATCAAACTACAATCTCATTAACCAAACCCCCCCCTCCCCCCCACCCCACCCCCCCCCCCACACACACCAAAATAAATAAATAAAAAGAAGCCACAAATTGGAAAATATTTTACCTCGTCCACTTCTGCCCACAAATCTGAGGTCGTTAAAACGCGCCACTGCGTTCTTCATGACAGCAGAAGCGTTCCTGAGCTCTGCTGAGTAGTTTTCATCGTTTCCAGCCATCACTGTGACCAGAGTACCATCAGGAACATCACCCAACGCCACCACCTGTGGGGGGGGAGAGACAGAAATATACACAGTGTATATATAACTCGCAACTTCAATCCCTGAAACCCCCTCACACACACTCACACACACTCACACACACACTCACACAGATACACACTCACACAGATACACACACACACACTCACACACACCCTCACACAGATACACACACACAGATACACTCACACAGATACACACACTCACACAGTTACACACCCTCACACAGATACACACACTCACACAGATACACACACTCACACAGATACACACACACACACAGATACACACCCTCACACAGATACACACACTCACACAGTTACACACCCTCACACAGATACACACACACTCACACAGATACACACACGTACACTCATGCACATACTCTCCCTCACACACACATACTCTCTCCACACACACTCATACACATACTCTCACTCACACACACACATATACTCACACACTCACATATACTCACACACAGTCATATACTCACACTCATACATATACTTTCACTCACACACTCAGCAACAACGCACACTCATACACACCACACATTCATATACTCACACACTCACATACACACTCATACCCACTCACTCACTCACTCACACAACCAGCCTGGGATGCCCTCTGCCCCCACACAGTAACTCACTCCTGCTTTTAACATACACAAATTAAATGTAACTCCCTCACCCCCCCCCCCCCCCCCCCCCCCGCCAAAAATAAATAGTATCTCAAAATTATCTTCAGCAAATTGTGTGTGTGTGTGATCCAGACAAAAATATATAACAAGCAACATTAATCACTGAAATACACTCCCATATACACACACAGACTCACAAACAGCTATCAGTAACATAACTGTTAACAATAACATACAACACCAGACAAAAAATAATAAAATACAACTCTCTCTCTCCCCCCCACCAAAAAAAAACACTCCAAAATCTCAAAATTATTTTTGAGCAAATAAATAAATAAAGACATTCATTATAGCAAGTCCCCAAATAAGCTATTTTTAGCGAATTATAATGCACGGGACACATTTATTTGAAAAGAGCTTTTCCAAATCATATATAAATAAATCTGTATAAATACAAATAAACGCCTTCACTTTTTTTTTGTTGCTATCAATAAGGGCTGAAAAAATCTCGAGGATTTGGGTCAATTCCACAGGGCACAAGAGCCATACAAAAAAATAAATGACATGATTCGATCCCCCACCCCCCCCCCCCCCCCAAAACAACTCTCTATAAATGATCTTTTAGCAAATAAATCGACTTGGAGTCGCCCCTTTCTTGAAAGCTATTTGCAGCAAAATTCTAATGAACGGGACACATGTATTTAGCAATAAATGCTGTTAATATCAACAACAAAAAAATGCACTGAGGCCTTACACACACACTCACACACTCTCTCACTCTCTCTCACACACACACACATAGACTCACAGACACCCCCACCCCACACACACACACACACACACACAATATTAAGGCACCACAATTCATGGGCCAAAATTCTGTTTGGATCAAGTCATGTTGGCAACTGGGAAAGGCAAATCTCGAGATTGTGTGTATGTGGGAATGTTTGCCTTGGAGTGCGGGAAGCCAAACACTTTGCTTATAAAGTCGCGTGTGTGTGAGTGTGTGTGTGAGTGTGTGTGAGTGAGTGTGAGTGTGTGTGTGTGTGAGTGAGTGTGAGTTGGACGATTTCTTTTTTTTTAAAAAAAAACCCACACAAGCTAAAACTGTGCCCCTGAATCCATCGCCGTTTGCCCTTTGACGCACGGTTAGGTAAGGGGTCCCACCTTAAATCAAATCAGTGGCACTTCTTAAGATTGTTTTTTTTTTTTGCATTGCAACTGTTTATTACTGATTTCATTCCATGTCCCTGATATTCACTGTCGGGATCGCCTGAAAGCATCAATCAAGGTGCAGTGTAGGCTTGAGCTATACATGTTGTGTGTGAGTGTGAGTGTGTGAGTGAGTGAGTTGCATCATATCCTAAGTAATCACCTTAAACTGTGTGTGTGTGTGTGTGAGAGAGAGAGACGCACAGAAAGGTTTAACGTGACCCAAGTCCCGGGTGACTGCAAATATGTTTAATCTGGAAACCTAAGCGGCCGCGCTTTCTAATGAGCACCGTTTTCAAGAACTAACTTGAAGGGTCGAATCGTTTTATTTATTTTCCGGGACCCCCAATAAATGCAAAGGATTTAATGTGTGGCTTTTTTTTCCCACCGTTTTTAGTGCCGCTCGAGCAAGTTTGGGGAACCTCCGACCACTGGTTTCTGTGCGTTTCTATTAACGCAATTTCTGCGTAATGTAACGTACGTATCGCACCGTATATATATATATATGTGTGTGTGTGTATATATATAATATTTTTAAAACAACAATCGTTTTGCCCTTTTTTGGGGGGTAATAATATTTGGCAGAATGTGCTTTCCTTTCGGGGTGTTGCTGTTCCAGGGGTTCGTTTGACCCGACATTACCCGTCTCTTTAATTCAGTCCCTTATGGGGACAACTGCGAGACTGGCGTTTTGGGAATGGATAAATAAACCAAGACCAGTGCTCACACACACACACACACACACAACAAATGATCCAAATCATTGCAATTTTAGCTTAAATTCCCCACAAGAGGAGGGGTGTGTATGTGTGGAATCAACTCCCGTCTTTTTTTTTCCTCCTTGAAACTCTACAAACCTGTTACTATTTCCTTTGATTTAACTAAAATAAAAGTATTAAGGGAATACTTTCCTATTCCTGTTGTGTGCTTTGAATTGCGTGTGTGTTGGGGTGGGAGTGGGGTGGGGGGGTGGGGGGGTGTTGCTCTGTCGCGGTGTATTGAGCTTTTTATACACTTTCATGCGGTGAAATTAGTGGAAAACATCTTCAACTCTGACGTTTACCGCAGTTACTGCAGCTCTGGATGCCCAGGAGTTAAGTGAGGTCTGAAATAGATGTGCCCTCCTGTGTCTCCTCTACCTGTTTATTCCCCGATTTTACTGTTTGCATCTTTGCCAAACAAAAAAAAATGGACATTTTCTGGACAAATGATCAGCTTAAAAAAAAATGGGCAGAGAAAGAAAATCTTTCATTATTGCTAATAATAATAATAATAATAATAGTGTGTGTGTGTGTGTGCGTTTGTGTGTCTTTTTCGCCCACAAAATACACAGTCGATTTACTTTACAGTTATATTTTGTGAAGCTCTTTGAGACGTCTCTAAGACGCGATAAGGCGCTGTGGATCAAACGCGAAGAGGATTATTATTATTTACGTATTAACTTTTTTTTAAAAACAAAAATAACCTTTAAATCTACAAGTGCTGAATATGTTTCCACATTTTAAATTGTGTTCCTCCCCCACTATCTAAACAGTATCGCGCAGTTAACGCTTGGAGTTGTTTTTCTCGGGTTTTTTTATGTTGCATTGTAAATATGAATAGTTTTTATTTTATTTGTATTTGTTTTAGAGAGGGGATGGACGGTGGGGGGGGGGGGGGGTGGTGGTGGGGGGGGGGGGAGAGAGTTCTACACAGATGTAAGTGTCTGTTGTGTCTTAGTCTAAAAAATATTGCGGTTGTGGTTTTTTTTGGGAAAAATGTGGCCAAGAAAAGAAACGTTTCTAATTTGACAAGTGATAGAGAAAGAGCAGAGTTTCAGCTCTGAGAGACAGAGAGAATGTGACAGAGAGAGAGAGAGAGAGAGAGAGGGATAAGAGAGAAAGAAGAGAATTTCAGCTTTGAGAGGGAGAGAATAAATTTGTGTGTGTGAGAGAGTTTCAGCTTTGAGAGAGAGTGAGAGAGAACGTATATGTGTGTGAGAGGATATGTGAGAGAGGAGTTTTAAATTTGGGAGAGAGACAGTGACAGAGAGAGAGAGTGACAAAGAGTGACAGAGAGTGACAGAGAGAGAGAGTGACAGAGAGAGACAGAGAGTGACAGAGAGAGACAGAGTGACAGAGAGTGACAGAGAAAGAGTGACAGAAAGAGTGACAAAGAGAGAGAGAGAGAGAAAACGAGTGACAGAGAGAGAGAGAGAGAGAGTGACTGAGAGAAAGAGTGACAGAGAGAGAGAGTGACAGAGAGAGAGAGAGTGACAGAGAGAGAGTGACAGAGAGAGAGAGTGACACAGAGAGGAGAGAGTGACAGAGAGGGAGAGAGTGACAGAGAGGGAGAGAGTGACACAGAGAGGGAGAGAGTGACAGAGAGGGAGAGAGTGACAGAGAGGGAGAGAGTGACAGAGAGTGACAGAGAGGGAGAGAGTGACAGAGAGAGAGAGAGTGACAGAGGGGGGAGAGAGTGAGAGTGACAGAGAGGGAGAGAGTGACAGAGAGAGATGGAGAGAGTGACAGTGAGGGTGACAGAGAGTGACGGAGAGAGTGACAGAGAGGGAGAGAGTGACAGAGAGTGACAGAGAGGGAGAGAGTGACAGAGAGGGAGAGAGTGACAGAGAGTGACAGAGAGGGAGAGAGTGACAGAGAGTGACAGAGAGGGAGAGAGTGACAGAGAGGGAGAGAGTGACAGAGAGGGAGAGTGACAGAGAGTGACAGAGAGGGAGAGAGTGAGAGAGAGGGGGAGAGAGTGACAGAGAGGGAGAGAGAGGGGGAGTGGGGGAAGGTGAAAGCCTTATTTTCGGACTGACCTTGAACGCCACGGGCAGCGTCTTGTTGCAGCGCCAGTGTGAGGGCAGTACAGAGCAGAGGAAGTTGGGGCTGTCGGTCCGCACCAACTCTCCGGCGTGATCGGCCAACACGTCCACCACCGTGCGGGTCTCGGGCCGGACCCGGGACAGCACCCCGGGGCTGGGCTGGCTCAGGGACACCGGCTCGCTCATCTTCCCCGAGCCCGAGCTGCTCAACGTGGTGGAGGGAGGAGTGAAGCGCCGACTTGTGTTGGGATCTACAGGAATACGCATCACAACAACTTGGGTTAGAAGGTACCCCAATAACACAGGGACAAGGGAAGGCCACTTGGGAAGGATCTCTCTCTCACTCTCCCCCTCTCTCTCTCTCCCTCCTTCCTTCCCTCTTTCTCAAGGAACTTTCTTTCCTTCTCTCGCTCTCACTCTCTCTCTCTCTCTCTCTCTCTCTCGAGGGAGTTGTTTCCTTCTTCTAGAACTTCTGCTGTTCAGAGTCCAGTCTCTTTTCTCTTCTTCGCGAAAAAAAACACACAGCAGTTGTTTCTTTCCTCTTCCTGGGGGTTTCCAATGGCAGAGTTCATCCACAGCCTTCCCTCTTTCGATCAGCCCCCAATTGGATGAGTTTGGGATGGGAGCAATCAATCAATCGATCGATCGATCGACCCCCCGGTCCCCAGGACACACACTCTCTCTCTCCCCTTCGATGTTATTGGGCGGTTGGGTAGTCCATCGCTTCTCTGTTCCTTGTGGGTCAGTCGGAAAATCGGAGGAACCGTCTTTTCACTTCAATCCAAATTTGCAGCAAATGTTCCAAACGTTAACAGCCCAACACAATCTTAGTATTCGGTCTTCTCTCTTTCTCTCTCTTCCAACGAGGAACCCCCCAAAATCTCCTGCAAACTTCAGAGCCACGGAAAATAAACCATCTTCCTGCCCCCCTTCTCTTTTCCTCTCTCTCTCTCTCTCTCTCTCGTGGAAAAAAAAACACAATCGCGAAAGCTTAAAATTCCCTTTAGTTCCAAGTCCGACACGAGAGGCGATGGTGTGACTTTCAATATCACTGCAACCAAAGTCACAGTCAATGTCTACTGTCTGTGTGTGTGTCTCCCGAGAGAGAGAGAGAGAGAGAGAGCAGTCACCTCAGGGAGAGCCACTCAGGGTTGGATCACCGCAGGGTTTCAAGCATGAAATCCCCTCCACAAATACAAGTCCCTCTGTGTAGCCTTTGACAAACCCCCACACACACACAACCCCTGGACAGACCTCCACCAAACAACACACTCGGAGATCCAAAAGAAGGGGTGTGAGAGTGTGTGTGTGAGAGAGAGAAAGTTTCTTTCACAAAAGTTTAGCTCTGTCTGTCTGTCTGTGTCTGTCTCTCTGTGATTAAAACAGGGAAGTGAGTGCAATGAGCTGCCAATATACAGCCTGGTTCTCCCTCACCTCAGCTGAGAGCCAGTGACTGACAGGTGACTGACAGCGCTCTCGGCCAATCACCTCCCACAGGACCTGCTGGCGGGGCTCCTGCAGCCAATGGGCGCGAGTCCCCGCCTCTGAGCCACACCCCCCCCCACAAGTCCCGCCTTCAGGTCTCAACCCAACCCATCACTCCCTCTCCACCTCTCTCTCTCTACGTCTCTTTGGTTGTGTAGTGCTTTGTATCTCGTCGTATTGATGTGTTTACACGGGTTGTTGGGGGGCAGTGGCTGGAGTTGGGCAGAAGGCATTTTTTTTCACAAGCAATGTTTTATTTCTCTCCCCCCCCCCCCCCCCCAGGGTGAAGGGTGATAAATCTGTGCTGGTTCTGAGCTGATGGGGTTTTGCTCTTCTGGTTACTTATAACGAGAAAAAAATAATAATAACATCAATTGAAACTGCTCACAAGGACTTGGGGGAACGAGTGCTGCAAATAGATAGTTCAGACAGATTGCTTTACCCCCCCCCCCCCACCCTCTCTCTCTCTCTCTCTCCAACCCCCTCCCAATGTGCGTGGGCCTGTTTAGAGAATTATTTTCATGATTTAGTAAATCTTTGAACATGGAGATCAGATGGGTAGGGCGCTTGTGTATTTGTGTGTGTGTGTGTGTGTGTGTGTGTGTATATGTGTGCGTGTGTGTGTTTAATATACTTGTATTTATGTTTGCGTGCTGTATGTGTGTTTATATATACACTCTATGTATGCTTGTGTGTGTGTTGTGTTTATGCATGCAGTATATATATATATATTAATATGTTTATACATATATGTATACATGTTTGTGTGTGTGTTGTGTGGTGCAGGTAAAATGCACGTATTGTATAATTTCACCTGGAGACAATTTATTCTTTTCCCTGTGTGTATATGTATATGTATATGTACACACATGTGTCCTCTGAGTGAAACTTTATACAGCTTATTCCGTACGAATCCCGCCTTCTAAAATGGGAAGAAAATGCGCTGAGGAGTGCAGGGAAATTGGGGGAAAAGATTCGTTCCATTACGTGTGTGCGTTTTGGTTTGGGTTTGTGTTTGTTGGGGGGAGAGAGAGGGAGAAGACTTTTTGTTAGGACTTGTTTTTGAACCAATATATCGCCTGTGTGTGTGTGTGTGTGTCTGTCTCTCTCTCACACACACACACACACACAGACAAGTTAATAACATCATTTGAAACTGGTTCTGGGTGTAACTGACAATAATAACACAAAGCGGAGCAGAGACTTTGCTTTGCAAAGAAAATCTCATCGAAAATCTCAGGGGAGGGGGGAAAAACCACCCAACAACAAGAGGCTGTCAAATACCTTCCAGGAATTCAGACATAAAGGGTTCACTTGTTGTTTTGCAGTAAATTCTGAATAACCGCTGTGTTTTATTGTCCGAATGCATTTGCAGCGTTTGAAAACCATTGCGATTTCACCGCATGTGTTCGTGTTCGTGGTAATGGCATTGCTACGAATTGGGGCCGAAACAGGATTCTGGCACATTGCGAAAATGCATTATATTTTGCGCTGTTGCGTTTCGCCCACACACTTTACAGCGTATCCCGTGAGGCGCTCTGAGGCGTCTCGAAGACGTGACCAGGCGCCGGGTCCAACGCGAGGATTATAATAACAATTACAATTACTATTACAGCGGGTCTCTCCCCTCCATCGCAGTGGTTAATTAAATAAAACATAACTTTTATTCCATTGTATTACATGTGTGCACTCGCACTTGAAAGTTATATTTTATTGGCATTTGATGTCAAAACTCTTGACTTCCACATGAGACAAACAGTGTGTGTGTGTGTGTGTATATATATATATATTCCTGTCCCATAATACAATGATCAGATTAATAACCTAATTGACATTCCGCCCACCTGCAGAGTGGGATTGCACGTTGCTTTTGGGGCGCATTTTAAATAAAAGGGTATTCGTAAAGTACTCTTAAAGACTTCTCGCACAACAAACATTGCCCCCCACAACGCCTCAACATATGCTATTCATCTTTTTTTTCTATATAAAAAAATCCTTTCTCTCTCTCTCTCTCTCACGCGAAAAAAAAATGAGCAATTCAGAAACCAAAGCAAATGTTTGTTTTTACTCATTTTTAAAAAAAAATTAAAAAAAATCCCTGGAATAGGAGGATCTGTCTTATTTATCCATTGATCTGATCGGTTTAAGATCTGTCAGATCTGCCTCTCATTCCACGACACGAATCTTTAGAATAATGTTTTTTTCACACAGTCATTTTAAAACGAGGGAAACGGATCCGTTTAGGTTTTTTGAGCTAATTGATATCTGAGATTTTTTTTGGACGTGGTGTGGGTGGGGGTGTGGGTGGGGGTGGGGGGGGAGGGGGTGGGGGGGGGTATAAGATTTTATTTTTTTCATCTTGAAACAGTCGAGCCCCAATAGTGCGTAATAGAATTAAAATTAACATATTACCCTGAAATAAGATTGTTCGATTCTGTTAGTGTTTTCTTTTGGTTTGTCGTTATATATATATGTTATATATTAGATATATATTAGATATATATTAGATATATATTAGATATATATTAGATAGATTATATACAGTTATAACAGAGACTGAATCAATCTTTAACAAACACAACGGATTTCACCTGTTTTTGACTGGTTTCTCTGCTTATTATTATTATTGTTGTTGAACCGAATGAATGTTGAGTGTTTTTTTTTAATTAACCATTAAATGACGGGGTGGGTGGGGGTGTGAGGGATGTTCAGTCTGTTTTTGACTCACGTTCATCCATTCGTTCGTTAACGTGAAATGAAATCACTGGAGGTCAAAGCCCACATTGTGAGTCCGAGCCATACCTTCTCCCCCCTCACCCCCTCTCCCCCCCCCCCTCTCCCCCCTGATCCCTAACTTATATCAGATCCTTTTTTAAACCTTCTTTGGGTATTTGGGCTTTGTGGGGCGGTTGGTGATGGATTGCGGTTTGGTAAAAGGGGTTGTCAATAAACCTTGTTCTCCCTCCCTCCCTCTTTCTCTCTCTTTCTCTCTCACTCCCTCTCTCTCACCATCAAAATACCCACAAGAATTCGCCATAACCCACTTTGTTGTCCACATTTTCGCTCACAACTCAATACACACAGTTACAGTCTCACACACACACACACACAGTACTCACTCACTGAGCCCGGCTCAAAGGGAGGCTTTAAGGACATCAGTTAGTTAGGCTACTAACTAGTGAGTGAGTGAGTTAATTAGGCTACTAACTAACTAATGGGATATTCCGACCCACAGGCAGCTAACTAACGGGTGGATAGTGTGTCTCTCCACCTCCTCAACCCTGTGCCACATCTGTTCATCTGATTTTATTTTTCATCTGTTTATTGCAAGCGACTCAATACAGGAAACTTAAACTACAACAGACGGGTTTTTCATATGTAAATATATATATTATATATGTCTACATATATTTACACTGTATAATGTATTTGATCCACAAGGTTAACAGATTCAATCTGAAGCACTATTTTAAATACAGTTTTCAAATGGTAAACGTGGGGTTCGGTCGATTTGCTCTGTTTTTCTCTCTCTCTATTTCTCTCAATTTCTCTATGTGTCTCTCCTCAGTATTCAGTGCAGAAGTTAAGTCAGAACTACTGTACTCTGTGATCAGAGAGTGACATTCTCACTCTCCCAAAAGAAAGACTGTTTAGACTGACTGTAGGTTTGAAGGGAGAAGTCCTTTGCACCGACGCGTTATGATGTGTTTCCCAATGTTAGTTTCCAATATAATGCTCATTTTCCAGTGAATTCTGTCGAACGGAGAGAGAAGGGGTTTTACAGAGACAGCCTCAGCTGCTGAACTACATCTCTCCGCACTATTTATAGCACTGGATTGTGGCGAATAAATTCAGATTTGTACCCTCAAAAAAAAGGTCGCGCTTAAACCGATTTCTGCCACAATAAAAATGGAACAGAAATGGATTTTTAACGAAAAACCCACCACACAAGTACCTGGTGTACATCCTCCCCCCTCCCCCCCACCCCCACCAAACGTGTTTCATATTTTAAAAATGTGTTTTCATAAGGATTTCGCGATTTTAACTCGTTGAAGATGCACAAGAGGATTTATTTCGCTGCAGTTTTGCTTCCTCGACACACACACACACACACAAAACCAGTCTCCACTTTTCCTCCAAATGGTTGCAATAATATGCACTGGAATAAGTGATTTATTTCCCTTAAGTAAAGACTATATCTGCAGTTTTATGCTGTGAGTTAGTATTTATAAAGTGCCTCAGCCTTTGTGAAATACCCAGATGTAATTGAACCAATCTGAGTCTTTTTAATATATATATATATAATCTTTATTTCTGACCCTGTTACTGTGTCTGTCTCTGTCTAGTTCTTAGTTTTTTTTCACCCATTTTTGTCAAATCAGGTTCTCTGTGCAAAAGGGACCTTTACACATCTTTTAACATCAATATTAACCACATCTACACACTCGTTTTCGTCAGAAATTAGTGTCAGCGTCGATCTTCCATTTTAGCTTTTTCAACTTTTTTTTAAAAAAAAGACGAGAAATACACGAAAAAAAAAGCATTACAATAATCTGGAAGCGAAGCAATTATTTTTCTCTAAAATGAGGGGAGGGTGGGGGGGGGGGCAACGTTGATCAGGAATGATCCCTTCTCGCATCAATGATTCTCAAATGATTTCCTCTCTCCCTCTATATTCAATGAAAAACATTCTTTCTTCTTCAGCCCAGTTTTTGTTTGTGCGTTTGTGGGATTTGACTCTCTCTCTCTCTGCTTTCTTTTTTTTTTAAAAAAAATTATCATCATCA